TATCGCCAAATATATCACAAATGTTACGAATTCTGTGAAAAACTACGTCAGAAAGTTGGCCAAAATTTAAAAAAGAAGACCCTGAAACTTTGTTAGAATGGATAAAAAGTATCAAATGGATGTCAAAATCTCGCATTATCGATAAGCCATCTAGGGCATTTAAGGGAGATATGAAAATCATCTGTCTGTAAATGTTCAATAATTCAGAAGTGAAAGAAGAATTTAGATAAATTTTGCAATCAGTATGTAATGGTTCTGGCTAACATTGTCCTTGTTTGTAAGGCTCATTACTTTAATTGTATTTTAGAGGAACTGAGATTGAATTCTGCAACTCGTTGATTGACTCATACTCTTGGCCCCCTTTCTAAGAAAGAAATCCTTCAAGTTCATGTCAATTAATTTATTTTTGATAATTCCAACATTAAAATTGTTTTTGAATTACGTACAATACCTAAAACTGATTTTAAACTTCATAAAAATCCCTGCAAGCAAAGATACTAGTATAGATAACTGGTTGCAGATAAGGTTCCACCAATTACATGTATAAGCATCTTTCTTTACTCCTCACTAAAATATTACATGTAACAGCAGGGAAGGAGAAACTTTACAATAAAACTGTACAATGATATTCAAGAAGTAATGTAAATCAGCTGTGGATATCTAATAACACTGAGTAACTTTTCTAAAAATTGAAAAGCATAATTTTCCCTCAAAGCATAAAGCCTTACCAACACTGTATCCATCTAACTTATTTGTATTGTTTTAATGGACGTTTGTTTGAACTTGAGCACTGTTTATTTCCATAACATCAAAACGTACAATTTTCTTTTTTTAACACAACCAATCCTCACGATGAATTAAATCGAAGCTTATCGAAAACATAGACACCTGGGACGTTAATAAAAATGGATCTCGGATTTTTTTCTTTCCATGTAATTGGTCATTAACCAATTAGTTTGGGGGAAAATAACTATCGTTCTATTAACAGCAAAATTATGTTGTATTTAGAGACCAAGTCTTTCAACAAACTATTTGAATTATGATGGACACTAATTATGCTCTTTTAATTGGTGATCGTTCTTATAAGTAAAATCGATTTTAAAAAATCCACACAAGAAAAGAAACTTTTTTTTTACATTCAGATGTATCCGCTACGTTTAGTTTAATCCATTCATAGGAAGACTCGTTATCAATCAATTGTAAATGCATGATAGCCGACTGAAAACAAGATGGTTGAAATCCCAGTACTATATTCAAAAGCTTAGTTGAAGTGCAAATCATCATTTTAAATAAGCCACTGATTGAAAAATAGATGTTTAGGGGGATTTCAACAACCGTGTTGACCAGAGAGTCAACAGTTTGGTATGATTGAACTTGTTAGCAAAAATGACACAATGGCCTTGTTAGCAAGTATCATTGGGTCCTTTTTTGTCTAATATGTACGTAACGGTTTCCGGCCCATTACTCTTGAGAACAGAAATTCCTTGGCTTTTCATTAAGATGCTACAAATCGTATGCATTTTCTATTTTAACAGTTACTTAGTTTGTGATAATGAGATTGAAAACTCTAGTTTTTATTTAAAAAGTTCTTATGTTTTTGGGAATATCACACTTTCCTTGTTGGCAGGCAATCTAAGCAGTGCTTGCCCAGGATTTTTTTTTTTGCAAACCTGTATTGATGTACCTTTGGACGTTGAAGAAATCTGGTTAATGTTCATAAAAAAGATAGTGTAAGGGACTTGAGAAAAGAGTTACATAATGATTTGAAAGGGAAAAAAACTTAAAACCGTAATACAACGTAATTTTATCCATCGTTTTCATCAGCATTGTGTGTAATTGTAAATATTACATTATATAATATTGAACAGTCAAGGCATTAAAGAACTGATGTGATTTTATCTGACTTCAGTATCTCGTATTTTTGAAATTCATTTGAAAACATTTAAAAATTTACTATTTACTATTTTGTGTTCGACGTATTTTATATGATATTACGTGTTTCTGAATCTATTATCTCTTTAATCCTATTTAATAGAGGAAGGAAAATTAAAGCTCCGAACGCTATGTAAGATGAAATCCTATAATGATCAGCCTGATGATATATATGCATTTTTACTCTCTCGAGTATTGATATAACAGTATAAAACAGAGCGTGTATCTGAAGATTAAGTTGCCAGAGATTGTAATATCCGTTTCTGGAGGAAACCATGAATCAGTCGTCATCTTCAACCGCCAACGAAACAAATGTCCCCTGGAGTAAAATCGCTCTTGGTGTGTTCCTTTATTTTATTGTCCTTGTTACTATTTTTGGTAACATCCTAGTACTGGTCGCCGTTAAAAGTAACAAACGTCTTCAGACGGTGTTTAATTTTTACGTAGTGAATTTAGCTTTGACGGACGTTTTAGTAGCTGTTACGGCAATGAGTTTCTACACCTTGGACAATATTCTTGGTTACTGGCCATTTGGAAGGATAATGTGTGGTGTTTGGATATTTTTTGATTATGGAATGACGTTCGCGTCCGTTTTCACGCTATGTATTATCTCTATTGACCGATTCTGGGCGGTAAATTGGCCGATACATTACAAATCTCATCATAATAAAAAGAAAGCCCTTGGGATGATATGTGGTGCATGGTAAGTATCTAATTAGAAGTATTTTATTTGATGCTTTACATTGACGCACAGTACTAGCAGTAATTATAAATATCCCATAACTTATAAAACAAAACATTTTAATTTCCGTTGCAAATTTGTTATCCTTTGTATACATGTAACATTGTATTTGTTGACAAGGGCATTGTATCGACCATAGATTTCATGAATTAATTATTTCTACTTACGAAGGATTTTAACATATTCTGCAATTCGTATGAAACATAATCATTCAATTCTTTCAGGGGACTTGTTTTAAGCATGCCCCAGAGTCTTGATTTATATTTTAATACCAGGGAGATTCATATAGAACAAATCAGATTGAGCTGCTAATGAGTCGATGATTTTTCCTGATATATATCTATTACTACAAACTTCTGACAGGTTAACAAATCTTATCTGACAAAACAAATTATTAATTATATGAAAGCACACCATTTTGAACTAAATAACAGGAAGGTAAAAACAAACGAAAACAAGACAGTGTTTACAGTGTATTCTCTAAGATAACAAAAAAAAAAAATAAAAAATAAAACGTTAAGAATATCTTTATGCATCAAACAAATAATTCTATTTCAAACAATAAAAAAAAAACATTTTAAAATGAACATAGTTCCGTGTTAGGAATCATTTTCCCTCCCTATTCTTTTAATGAATGAAAAACAATTACAATAGAATGATACAATTGAAATAATATCCGTATTTTTAAAGGAAATAGTGGAATTAAATATGAATTCATTTTCTTGCGAGAGCCACATAACATTATTTGTTGAAGTAAAAAAGAATGAATATCTTTGAGAACCACAATACATGAATTCTGCATGTCACTTTGCAAAAACATTCAAACGCCAACAACACATAGAGAAGTTATAAAGTTATCTGTTATGAAATTTACTTTTTATTGATGCAATAATATCTGTAAAATTTAACATGAATGGTAAACCTCATAGAGTTATGAATTAAAGACCTTTAAATTCCATTTGAGGTATTTAATGGTTTTATTATTTCAGAAAAAATCGCTCCGCAATCAAGGTAAAATGTCCAAAACCAAATACCTTAGCTTACTTCTGATGTCAGTGTTTATCAAAGTATTTCTCTTCAAAAACAATCATCATTAAGTATCAGGAAGTGTCCATTATAGTGTTCTACTATTTACAATTTCAAAATGACATAACTGTTCACTTGTCCTTTTGAAAATCGAAACAGTTAATTGTTTTCCACTTTGAAAATGATTTAGGTCAGATTCTTTGCTGGGAATAACTTTAAGTGGTTATGCTTTAAATGGAAAGCATAATTATGTAAAATGATCAATTCATTATGTTTAAAAAAATCAGTCAAAATGTTTTCATACAAAAACTTAAAGCTTTAAAAACAAGACCTTATATATTTGATTTATCAAAATTCATATACAGCAATATTGGAAATTAAATATTTTTTCGCTTTAAAATACAAATTAACTATTCCTTAAAATACTGTATCAGAAGATTTGTTGATTTACATTGCTATGTATTGGACATTTCCAAGGGTTACAAACTAAAAAAAAATCTGTTCTTTCCATGACTTCTTCGATCGCACAGATATAGCTAGACAGCTGGGATGCATGACGATTAATAATGTCTACAGAAACTTTACATTTTGACATGCCTGTTGAAATAGAAAAGCTTCCCGGTAGATTTGTATTATAAAGTTTTTGTCAGTAACACAAGTAGTATTCAAACATACATATTTGATTTAAAAGTTCGTGTCATTCGAATGTTATTTTCCATCATGGAATCTTCGATGCTTAAATTCTTTAGAATTGCACGATTAAATTCTATATATTATCATATCTACCTTTTCTAGATGAAATAGGAAATTTAAGTGTTTCTAAAGAACTCCATATTAACACACTCTACAAACTTAAGTAAACAGAAATCTGCGTGTTTCTTGTTAAAATTTGCAGACATATATTGATTTAAAGTGAAGTAATTCTGTGCTCTTTACAGACTATGTTGCATTGTATGTAAATGAGTATTGATTTAGGACAAATATACCAAAAAATCATTTCTTATTCAAGACGAATTTTAAACCACACAATGATTTTTACTTATCAAGAATTCAATTCAGGAGATGCTTTTTGAGTTTCCTTGATACAATATTTATACATTTATACACATCACAAGATTTTACCAAAATTAACTGCTTAAAAACTTATGTAGTCAAATGAAACAGAATTTGTGCAAAATATTATGCGCGAAAAAAAGAAAACACTTGTTGTGGCCTCCAACTCTACATTTAGATAAATTGTATCGGCGACGTATTTTCATATGTCGATACCATATATCCTGGTGAGCTTGAGATAAAAGATACCACAGAATCTGAGACCCCTGTTTCATATTTGGATATTTTACTTGAAAAAGACATTAATAGTAATCTTACTACCACAATCTACCAAGCTCTATTATAAAAGTGATCAATTTCACTTTACAATCTTCAACTTCCCTTACTTATGTAGCAATTTACCTTCATGACCTGCAAAAAGAGTTTATATACGATTCGATACGCAGGTGCATGCTATACGTATGTCCAATTTCTAAATAAACCAGGTAAATTATAGACAAACAAGTTGATGAAAGAAGAATATCAGCAGTCTCGTTTAAAGTAATCATTTCGTAAGTTAATTCCATTGCTTATACACTGAACAGTCTACGAATTTTCCCGTTATTTTCCGATCATGACAGGGAACACACGGTGGGTATGACCGGTCAGCAGGGTATGCTCACTGCTTCATGGCACTTGATCCCATCTCTGATGTTTCGGAGGTCCGTTTTGCTCTACTCCTATTTTGTATTGTTTTGTGAACTTTTGATTTTGAATACTGTTCGTTATCGCCATATGTTTAATTCCTTTTAAAATTACTTAGCACAAAAATGGCAGAACCATTTTAAGAAAATGGTATATGATGCCAATGAAAAAAAGATTTACAATGACCTTTACCTGATATTTTTCTTTGAATATAAAGATCCCGATCACATCAATCCATCGGGTATATGTTTTGTCGAGCAATAAGCACGAAATGATTTTAGGATGAGCTCTATAACAAGTATGTTATTTTGAATCATAAAATGTAAAATTTATGACCTGGAATAAACAGTTATACATGTATGTAATTGTAGCAAATATATTTCATTTCATCTTTGAATATTGTCACCTTTACGTTGGATCAATCAGCAAGAATAGGGAAAAAAAGAACAACCATTCACACATTGTAAAACTTTGAAAAAACTTAATAAACAATATTTTTACACGTTTATGTAATTCAAATTAGAAATGTATCACCGCAAGAGTGTAAACGCTAATGACATGCTGTAAATTTTGCCACAGGTTGCAAATTGAGATCTTTTGAGTATTTTGTTAAACCGAATACATGTAGATCTAGATCTATTAAAAAAAAAAAATAAAAACCACATTCGTGTATAATGGATAAATAACTTAAACTTGCAGCCTTCGTCATTTCTTTCTGTTACTTTCAAACCATTTGATGATATACAATTATATGGAGAGTGTCGTAGGCAATCTTGAAACAGAAAAAAATCCTTGTGTAATATTTTCTTTTACAATAAGGTGTACAAAAATTCTATGATAAAATATGAAGCAAATGCTATAAAAATGAGAACTGCTGTCAGTTTGCTATAAATTACAAATTCTGTTATGACCTGACATATGATCTGTATTTTACACATATATTTGGCATTTTCCTGTTGTTAGTATCAAAAATGTAACATTACGCAAACGTAGGGAAAGCAATCCATCAAAATAGTCATCCTGTCGGATTAGATAACATCATGCTAAAAGGTTGAAAAATGTAATTCAGATTAAAATTCATATTGTTAGAAATTTTTACAATGAGTGTAATGAAAATAAAAAAAGAAACGTTTGATGAGTTGAAAACGCTTTTTTGTTCAACAGTTCAGAAGAACAATGAGAACAGTTTGTATCGATGAATGCAGATATTAGAAATATTAGAAATAAAATATTTATGTTGTATTGGGTCCCGACCTATAAGGGTCTTTATATTTTTCTTAATCTAAAGATTAAAGACAGAATAATTCTGGTAAAACCCATGAGAGCAGAACGAAGCATTCACTTGATCGATACCTCATAAAGATGTACTTTACTCTTTTTGTTTTTTACTTTTTTTACTTATTTTTTACAAGATGTACATGTAACTATGAAAAAAAAAATTGCAGAAACCAAGTAAAACAGCTACTCTAACAAAAAAGACAGTAAAAAAAAACCGGACAGTCCAACGGTCTTATTATATATTCAACCAAAAAAAAAAAAAAAAAGAAACGCATAATTTTAAGTCATCAAAGAAATTTTGAAAAAGTATATGGAACAACTTATATTTTTTATAATTAAATACATGTGACCTATAACTGGGCTTTTAAACCCAAATTATTGAATTATTTCCCTAAAATTGATTAATAATGTTTATGAAAATAGTGTTTTGTATGATTGCCCTAAATCGGGGGTTAATGAAATTTTGGATTTAGAGAAACAATAAACACTCCTATTAAACCCACATTTTTGCTTTGATTACAATGTTGATGCTGCAATGCCACGCCTAAACAAAGATGAACGCAATGAAGCTCTAACAATGATTCCTGGTCCGATTTTAATTACTTTTACAAATAATTATTATTTGCCAGCATAAACCTATTTAGAATGCTGTCCGAAAAAATATGCTGGCTTTCATAAAGCGTGTGGCGATCAAAATGGCGGACATCCAATTTTTCTAATTTTCTCTCAATATCGTTCAAAAAGTAATGTGTGAATATCTTTACTATAAAAATGATATAAGAATGCTAACATTATTAGTTTAACTCAAAAATTTAGTGTTTCTAACATTAATCCGAATTTTCTCTGTTTTATTTGTCTATTGTTCTATATTCTGCTTTGTTTAGGATTTTACATTTGCAAACATCCATACACTGCAGATTTGTATTTTTTCCCTCTGCATCTCACTATTCTACAATTGAATGATGGTGCAGCTGGAATTCAAAATGGTGAATATTCCTTTTTTTCATTTTTCTTAATGTCGTTTACATATTAGGAGAAAGGATTTGTGAATATCTTACTGAGCGAGTACAATTAACTATGTAGAATTCTATTAAAACACTAATATGATCACTTTAAATCGGAAAATTTAGTTGTTTAAATTTAAAATGTGTTATTTAGCTCAAAATGGCAATTCAAAATGACTCATATTAACTTTTCAGTCAAACTGCTTAATTTTGAGTTGTTTTGCAGAAAATAAATTACAGTTTCTTTTATACATATATAGTATATTGATTAGTCCATTAAATATGAACAAACAAAAAATACTAGAAAAGATTCATTTTTTTCTGGAAATAGTTAAATCAAACTCGACTCAAAAGTTTCCAAATTTTCCACCTCGTAATTGACCGATTGTTGTGAGCCCCCATACCTATTGAACCCTGTGTTTATCAACTCGCATTTCTACCTCAACATCCCCAGCACACCATCAAATATACAGAAATTCTTGTCCGATATCGAATACTTTGGTTTAGCTTTTTAGCACTTATAAGAACATATTATCCCCTGATTCTTCTATTCCAACTGAATATGTTTCAGTCTGTCTTCGGAATTTTGGTATTTTCATTGGTGCCCCGTGTCAAGGATGACAACCCACTTGGCACGTAAAAGATCGTTTCTCTGCAAAAAGAGTAAGCTCATTGGGGGCCGCCAGAGAAACCAACATCCTTCAAAAACCGATTATTTAAACTGATAGTCCGCTGAAACATGGCTGAAAATTGCCGATTCGGCGTTAAACAACATACAATCAATCAATCAACACTCAAGGAACAACACATTTATGTTCAAATGTTAAAAGTCTATTTTGTTTTCCAAAACCTTATGCAAAATGAAGTAGAGGTACTGTGAGCTCACTAAATACCCCCTGTCTCCCATATGAATATAATAATGACAGTGTCCATGTTTTGCTAGGTGAAACCCAAAATATGCTTAGATGTAATAAAGATTTGTGAAAGTTTATAAGTTTCATCCAGTGGTATGAGAGGAGTTGTGGATAAGAGATGGGTATCCCAAAACGTAAAAGACGTAAAATATGCTTTTCAAGCAAATAAAAAATCTCTGATATTCAAGACATGTAGCTCTTTATTTCGTGCCGCGTGTTGTCTTTTAGGGTTTGCTATAAACAAGAAAATGAAACTTTATCATCTGGAATCAAATTGTGTGTATATTTTGGTTAGAAAAGTTGTATAATTATGCAATTTAAGTGCGCCTGCATTTTATTCCTATCACTATATTTGGCCAATAGGCCTAAGCCATTCCTGTTGTCTAGTCAACACTTCAAACAAAATTTTCTTGTCGAACACTCCAAGAACTTTACAGGCAACTTGACCACACTTCTTTGTTAGGATAGTGTAAGGTTGTATCAAGAGTCGATGGAGGATTGATCACAAACATTTCTTCTTTCAGATTTTGTAAATTTCAAAATTTTTAAATCTATATACACTGTTAAATACAAAATTGGTGGAGGAGGACCGTTCACAACATGAAATATTTGAGAATACAGTTGAATTTTTAACTGAGAATAACAAAATGCAAATGTAGGGACACAGGAGCTGACAATCAATTTATGGTTTACGTATATTATACTGATAATTCTTAATAAATATGTTTATATTTGGATATTATAATATATTCAAATTTATATGATGTAACAATTACTCTTAATTGGTCGTGGTTCATCATTTTAAAAATCATACTAAGCTATGTTGCACTAGTCCTTCCACATGAACATAAACATTTAAAACTAAAAATAGATCAAAATTTCCAACAACTGTATGATGCAGCCCTCGAACTACAATGTTCACTCGCCTTAATAACGCTTTTTTGTTTTCATATTGTCACCAAAACAGCAATTATTGTATGATATTATTAACTTTTTATTTGAAGAAGCATGATAGGACGGGTAATAGGTATAATGTCTTCGGAATAGTCGTAAAAATTTATCTTTATAATCTCTCTTTGATAAGTCATCAAAAATATCCTAAAAATATTTAAACATTATTTCAGGAATATATAAAAAACTATTTATTTTCAAAATCTGCTAAACGAGTAATTAAGCAGTTTGGGTATTTTACAAAATCGAGTGTATAAAACGTCATTTGAATTGCCATTTTGACACATATAACCTGATCTTTAGTATTGGAATTTTGCATAGTTGTACTTCGATCAATAAGATATTCACAAATCCTCTCTCCAATGTAAATAAATTTAAGAAATAATTTTTAAAAAAAGGAATATGCGCCATTTTGAATCGCCATTTTGAATTTCAACTTACAGCTGCACCATCATTCAATTGTAGAATAGTGAGATGTCGAGGAAAAAATACAAATCTGCAGTGTACGGATGTTTGCAAATGTAAAATCCTGAACAAAGAAGAATAAAGGAACAAAAGACAAATAAATCAGAGAAAATTCGAATTAAGTGTAGAAAAGATTAAATTTTATAAGTTAAACTAAGTTAAACTTAGCATTCTATTATATTTTTTTTATAGTTTTGTTATACTCAGTTAGATATTCACTCATTAGTTGTTCATTTTGAACGACATTTTAGAAAAATTTTTTTTGAATCACCCTTTTGACCTCTTTAACGTCATTTTCATGAAGGCCAAGATTTTTTCGTAACACACTCGAAATAGGTTTAAAAAATTTGCTGGAAATAATAATTATTTGCCGTTAGAAGTCATTTCTAGCCTTCTTTTAAAAATCAGGACCAGACTATAACCGGAACTACGCAACTGAAAGTTGCAACTGCACATCGGTCGGCTTTGCAGCAGTTAAACGCACGTCTCCACCAGTTAGAACACAGATGGCAGACCTAGAATCCGCCGTTCGCGGGTTACCACACCCAGAAAGGGCCGTCAGATCCTCAATCAGCACCTGCGCAATTGACTGGGAACTGCTGTAAAAACTGCTGAAATCAGCATAAAGTGCACAAATTGTTCGTAAAAGACTGAGAGGAGCTGGTATTCGTGCACGACGTACATTGGAAATCCACTAGCGCTGAGAGGTTGCAAAGGACGTATGGATTGGCAAAGACGTATGCCTCTAGAATTTGAAGGCGATCAATGACATCAGTTTAACTTTTCAATTTGGAGCATACAACTTATTTGATTTTTATCACAACGCACTCACTCTAAAATCACTTTTAAAAATTAAGGTTTAAACTGAAAAGTTTAATCTGAATATGCGTTTCTTTTTTTTGTTGAGTATAATTTATCCCTTCGTTTCGCGAACAGTATTTAAGATCAAAAGTTCATAAAACAGTATAAAAGAGGAGCAGAGGAAACACGGACCTTCGAAACATCAGAGATGGGATCAAGTACGTGCCATGGAGAAGTTAGTATACCCTACCGACCGGTCACATCTATCGTGTGCTCCTTATCATGATCGGGAAATAATGGAAGGTCTTATGACAGTATACTGTACATTGGAATATTTATACGTATTCTATTGAGTAAAGTGTAAATGTTGGTTTTGTCAAAGTCAGTACTCATACTAATCTTTTATCCCTTGTACCAGTTTATCCAGATTCTGTGCAGTTATTATTTCAAGGATCGATTCTTTTTCACGGTCAATCTTTATCTTTGCATTAAACATAAAATCATCTGATATTTTTTTTGAGAAATATTTTTTAGATGTACAAATTTGTGCAACGACCTAATCCATCACTATGAAAATAACCATTTTGTTTAGTTTTATCGGTCAATTTCTAGTAATAAGTTAGTAACTTTCTAAAAGAACTTAAAGAAAATGCTTATATATTTGAAATGGTAAGTTATAACTAAAATCGAAAACACATATGTTGAAAGGGACTGAGTACAACAAAATCACGTAATTACTTTGCATTCTTGCAATATTCAGTGTATAAAAACATTTTATTCTCAATTCTGAACATTTTCCAATACATAAAACATTTTATCTAGCCAAAGGTTTTTAGGATGTGGCTTGGACCGAAGACCCTTGACGAGCGAAAATGGAAAACAAAAACAAGTGAAAACAAAGCATATATTACGAACAAGTATATTGAACTTCTGTATATTTATAGGTGTTAGGACAAGGGTTGACACTGGAACCTCCGAAGTCATTCAATCTAGTTGGAACAGCACACCGTGTTTTACCATTACATTCTTGAGACAGCTTGTTGAGAACATCTAATCTACAGTTGGTATCGTCCATCGTAGCTGAAGTAGACGGACAAACTTGGGCTGTAGGCTCAGTTCGTCCATAGTTGGCAGACACAATGGTTAGAGTTTTGGAGTTTTCACACCGGATTTCTCCATCATCGGCCCCGCACATTATTACAGTCCTTTGTTCTTTATTGTATAAAGAAAAAAAAAATGTAAATATATTCTTAAGCCCCTTCCTTATTTGAATGTTACTTCAAATCTTTTGATAGAATTTAATTTTTGGAATATTATCTACATGTACTTACCCGGTGTGTTTGCTTTTTGTTCACATTCCAACAATTGGTCTAAAACCAAAAACAAATCTAATTAGTCAAATCAAAACTTTATAATTATATTATCATTTTTTTTAAAGTGATTTTACTTACACTAACAATACCTTTGTAGTTGGTTTTAAAAGATTATTCACCCCTAGCTGATGTTTATTTGATCATATAGTGACTAAACTGATAACAATGTTTTTTTTCTTTAAATAAAAATAAAAACTAAACCTTGCAGATTTGATAGCCTCGCATCCTGCACACGGTTGTCTGAAAAATATTGAAAAAAATGGAATTTTCTAAGTCTGATAGGATGTACATGTGTATTGTACATGAGTTAAGGTCAAAATTCTTGCACTTATTTCTTGGACCTCTATTTTCAAAATGAAATAGTACATAAGAAGGCAAAAAGAGTAAAGAATACACAGTTTTGTTATACTTGACAAGACCAAAGCTCCAAGAACCACAGCGATACCAAGTGGAAAAAAGGAAGGAACGGAATCCCAAAGTAAGTCAGGAATGGAATCTGTGGGTAACACATAGTCGTTATCTGCCATTGTTTTCTGGAAAGAAAAGTCCAGGAAAAAAGGTATATAAGAAATGAAAAAAAGGAATCCCATTAGTTTGGAAAAAAGAAAAAAAGACAAATGGGAGGAGAAAGTGATGACGAAATACAAGAAAATGGAAATTATTCGAAAGTTTTCAATTATTAGATTTTGCAGCTAGGAAAGATGAGATCGTAAAATGATTATATAGATTCAATCAAAGCACAGAAATAAAAGTCCCTTGCATGGATGTTTTTTTTTTTTTTTTTTACATTTTTCAAATTAGTTTAATTTCATTTGTTGACATACAGGTTAGTGAATCTACTATATGGTCTTCTTTATGTGAATCAGCGTGCCACACGAAGTTTATGGATAAATAAATCGTTGTGCCTCAGGTACCATGAGTACCATCCTATAAAAATGGTTCGTTTCCTTAAATCATATACGCATCGTGTAGACTGTAGATATACATTCATGTCACAATTTCAAGATGTAATGCCAAAGCAGTTTGGAAGGAGTCAGGGGAAAAATGAAGAGTAGTTAGGAAAATTCCTTTAGCATACACATTAATACATCGATGTTGAATGTCGCAGTAAATAAATTGTTTACCTTGTAGAGTGCCCCGTAAGTACACTTCCCTAGGGTAACCTATAAAACGTTCCTTCTCACCGATTAAACACTCTTTCGTCTCGTACGAAGAAAAATGTGGTAGTTCTGTTTTTACATTGATTGTAATGGCCTATAGGCTAATACCTGAAGGGGATTTTTGACCAGTAAGCAGATTCGGTTCAAATAAGAAGCATGAAAGGATTTTTTTTCAGGTTTTCTTTGTGCGAAACATTTACCATATCCAATTATTCATTAAATTTTGAAAGAAACAGTCTCATAACCGCACCGGTTTGTGCAAACAAATCGAGTAACTCGCATCAGCGCGTTATGAAAATTTGTTTGAGTACACCGCTGCTGTGTTGAGACTATCTTTCTAAAATAATGATTCATTGCTTATATTTACATTTTTAAAACTCTATGCCTTGACTGCCAATGGGATTTATATTTTAAATTCCATATATTATCCTTCGAGTAAGCCACTTTTAATAGAAGAGCCAATGTAACAGCTTCTCGTCAACGTGAACGTGATTTGTTTTAAATTTTCGCTTAAGACGTTGTTCTCCGCCGGTGTTAAACATTTGTGACTTCAAAATAAAACGCATGCTTTAACTTTTTGACCCGTTTTTAGTGTTATGGTCTTTTGAATGCCATAGATTTCCAAACTTTTTATGCATGTTATAGGCAAATAAACATGTAACGTAAATAAAGTATGGCAAATGAAAATAGTATAAACGCTGCATGACGGGTGACCTCACAATACTTCACATCAACGATAACATCACTAATCTTATCAGACCGGTGATTTCATCAGATGTCTTTGTAACGTAGTGGTTAGAGTTTTTGTTCTACAGTCGCGAGGTAAGAAGTTGATTTTTCCGGTACATCTCTGGATCCAATTATTGCGGGACGTTGAGACCGATTCTTGGATGATCTATGAATTTAAACCGAGATCAATCATTGAAGTAAGTGCTGGTACGAGAAAAAGATCCACCATTGTTCATTAGCCTTAAGTGCCGGTGTACAGGTATAAATTTGAATCCACACAACGGCAAGTGGTGACCTCTCAATATATATGTGAATTTTTCTTAAGGACAGATGATACAAACAAAAAATGGATGCCTGGATAGGTATACATTTCTTGGCCTAATTTCACTGCAAATGATGCAAATACTAAATTTCTATAAAATGAAGAAATTGTAAACCTTCTGTGAAGTTCAAAAGTCTACCCTTCTGAAACCATTCTTATTAATCTATACAAATATTTTTCACTTCAAAGTTCAAATCCCAATTTTGTGAAATTTTGAATAAAAAATTAAAAACTACGTGGTGAAACTTATTCATTTTAGTCATTTAAACATGACCCAAGTTGTTATTTTCAATTTTTTGGACATAAGTTGGTTTGTATCAAATATCCTTAAGGGACGTTTGACAAACAAATACTGATCAAACAGGCAAAAACATCAAACCAAAAAAGGTTATTCAGTCTTAAATCTATTGAAATGTACATGGAATGTAATAAGTGTCTTATACATGCACGAAACATTTCATGACTTAATGTGAATACAATATTTAATATTTCACATGAATATTATTCAAAGCTAGTTCACTGAATTGAATTAGCTGCTTTTATCGAAGGGAGTGCATAGCCGCCTTAAGTTACCTAAATCTCAGTACTTATTCCTAGTGATTATCGTTCTTGTGAAATATCTTAGTTGATTATTGCCCCTTTTAATAAAAACACCTGAGGGCCCTTTGGTTGCAACTTCCTTTTTCAATATTCCAGCATCATTTTGGGTCGGTAAATTTTTTTCAGCTTGTTGTTAGTTTTTTTGTGAGATAAAAATGCATTCTGAATAAGAAAGTTTTCAAGAAAGTTAAATAAATGTTAATTATTATGAAGAAAATACTTCATAAAACACCAAAACAGACATCCAAAATCAAGTTTAAACATTTACCCTGCTTATCTGCTTATAGAAATATTTCTTTATGAAATAAAGCGACAACTGATGCATTATACAATCCGACTTTGTGGGAGTGGACGACTAATCCTCCATAAACACCTGATCCCACCTGAAATTTTCAGGTGTTGAAGTAGCTTCTTTTAATTAAACATAAAACATGTCTTGCAGTTTAATATTTCATAAAAAAGGGTGCAGAAAAAAAAATCGAAATAAACAGTATGTCAGCTTGTGCATACAATCGTTGTTTACCAATAATTAGAAAAAAATCAACAAAACTATATATATTTTATTGAATTTAGATGAAATATAATGCCAACAATGTTTAACTCTTGTCAGTCATTTTCATATCTTTCACACCAAAGGTTTCAAAAAAAGTAATTTGCTAATCAATTGAATAATTAAAGGAACTGATTATTTACGTAGAATTATTCACATCAACGGTTAGCCACCTGTATAAGATTGAGATACATGTAGTAACTCAACCATCTTGATAGAGACTAAAAATACCAATGATGCAAAAATCAATTTTTACAATATTTTCAAACTTGCTCAATGCGCCTTTAAAAGCAAAACAGTTGTTATGCCAAGTTAAATTCTATTGTGAAAGTAATTATTCTTCGGGGTCTGGTGGGGGGTGTTAATTTTCGTTGTTTTCGAAATATTCATTCGTCAACCACGAAATGTAAAATTTCATACCACCCCAAAATTCTTCATCAAAGACATCAAATCCCAATGAACCAATAGTTTTGCCTCAAAACAAGAAAATTTTACCTCACAAAAATTGTACAGTATTTATATTCATCAAAATAAGCTTTTTAAAATACCTTATAGTCCATCCCTTTTAAAATACATATAATCAGTTTTATTTTTAGTTAAAAGTTATCAAGTCTAAATCAATGAAATTAACGAGCAAATATCCCACCTGTCAAGTATAGGACCAAAATCGCTATTTAAGCTGCAATGGTCGGTGTCAGCAATACTCCAAGAAATATTAAAACAATCTTTCTCTTTCGCATTGCAGCATTCAAACACACTTCACCTAGTTCAAACATATACTGTAGTTTCATCAATTTTCGTTGAGCACCAGTTTTCGAGGATTTCGTTGTTGAGCAGATTAAAGAATTTAAATGTTCATTGAATTAAGAAATATATTATTGTATAGGCAATGTTTTTCCAGGAAATTACGTATCTTCGAAAACGTCTCTTTTACAAAATCCACAAAAAATAATGGCAATGAAAATTGAGGAAATCACAGTACATGAGTGAACCTGTTCAACAGAGCGAACGTTCGCGAGCTCTCTCCAAAATTCCTTATACCTGCAATAGAAATGTTCGCGAGCGCTTGCTCTGTTAAACAAGTCTCTGTGAAGAATGATTTAAGGAATCACTGTCTAGTTAGTATAGTATGCGAAGAACGTTTTGCATAAATTATCCCATGTTTCCCACTATCGTTGATGTCCCTGGCATACTATACTAACTAGACAGTGATTCCTTGTATTTCCATTTCATTGTGAAATAGATTTTAAATTTAGATTTTAAAAATGTAGACATAGATTTAAATTACTCGAGGACCCCAATGCCAATTTTAATTGTCCTCGTCCACTGACGTCAAGCACAAAGGTAGACGCATTTACATGCATATTTGGCCTCCCTAGCATCAGACACAAAGACTGATGCGCACGAGATTTGAATGCATGATAGGCCTCCTTAGCTCCTGACCTATCGACCTGCGTAATTTACATTCCGGTAGAATTATGAAGATATCAACTCCGCTAACTTTCAAAGAGTTATCACAGAGAGAAAAATTAGAAATGGAAATATATTAAAACTGATGGTTTATGTAATGCAGACTCCTGTACTTTTGATAAAGAAAATCATTTCAATAGGTTTTACGATTTTTTTTTGCATAAATCAGAAAATAAAATTAATAGTATTCATTTCATAAAATCCATGCGATTGAGATGAAAACGAAGCATTTAGTTATTTTTTGTGTACGATATTTAGATTTATTCAATGTGACGACAGTTTTTTTTACTTGATTGCTAATCTCAAAATCAATCTACAAAACTAGTGCCTACCCCGCTCAACGTGTTCATCTACCTTACTATCGGAAGACATTATTTCGAATGTTTGACAGACTTCACTTTTTTCCTGTTACATGTACGATATATCTTATTCCAATTTATCTGTTGAAACACAAAATTGTATAAGAAAAAAAAAACAAAAAAAAAAAAAACCCACAATTAATAATGTTAGTCTTACTGCACAAAAGCATTTTATTTCATTTGATAGAAACATTCGACGTAGAGAAGTAAAACATACCTTTTAAAGGATCACTTCATTACAAAGAGGGATTTGACCTATAGGACCGGGCTTGGTTTTTTTTCTACAAAAAGCTTGTCGATTTCCGTTCCGATTAATTACATTAGGCTGAATACATTTAACAATTTGTTTTTTCCTAAATCTTATTTTAGTGAGTAGAGGTAGAAGAAACCCTTTCATTGAGTTTCTGAGTTTGTCATCTCTAAACGTAATAATTGATATTTGTCTTTATTTCTCATTGTGCATAATGGTAAACTCTACTGTCTCTGAAATTCTATTCTTTATGTCTAGGCTATTTATCCGTGGATATAATAAAACACGTCATTAATGTGTGCAAATTATATAGGCCTAAATGAAAACCAAGGGAGTACAGTTACTGATATATGTAGCCAAAATCATTGTGATTAAATTCTAAGGAAAATATACAACTGAAATTCGTCGCAGCTCAATACTTCCAAGAATACCTGCACTGAGTAACACATAGTGAGTTATTCTTGTCCTCGGAGAAAGTGTGTTTATTCTGAGGCTTGTTCCGCCTCACTGCCAACTGTACATTTGATTGTTACAATTTGACATCTCTTTAGTTTTTCTTGTATCAAGGATAGAAAAAGGAAACAAGGATTTAACACAAGTTTATCTGCTGAAAAGGCGAAATTTAAAACTTTAAAAGTGTGGTGCAAGGTTCAGACTTTAAAAAGAAACATTTTACGGTCCAACTCATAAATCAAATGAGCTAGTCCGTCTATAAAAATGATAGGTATAAATTTGAGGCAGATGGTTACAACCTTATGCTATTCCCTTATGTAAGTGCTCGTTTTAAATTTGGCTCTTATATACGGTAGATCTATCCATAGTTTTGCAGATTATTTTTAAATCGCGATACAATAAATGCATCTACTAAATTATTAGTGAATTGAAAGTACTAGTATGATGAAAGAGGCAGTAAAGATTGAGATGAGGCAATCATAAAATTGCGAGAAAAAAAATCCGTAAATTTTACGATGACAAAAGACTTTTAAACGTACATTTCTTAAATTAAACTTTTAATACTAAGATGCAGCAAAAATTTAATTTTGAAAACAAATCAAAGCATTTATAATCGACCAAAAACCGTGAATGGCAGAGGTTGTTAAGTACATATTCCAGACCCAAGGGCTATATTTAATTTGCAATTCCGATCGAAAACTGTCCTTTATTGTACGTAAACTTTTCTATATTTTCGACTTTTCAAGATTCACTGATGCATTTCAGCCAAACTTGTCAAACACGTCCATAATGAAGGAATTTGAAGTTTGTATAAATTATGAATCGCTTCCTCTTGCAAAGAAATATAGTTAGGAAGTAGTAAATAATATTCGCCATTCGATTTAATTTTACAAATATATTCACTTCTTTAATACAGAAACGTCACATATGCATATACTGTGCTACAAAATATGCTGAACGTGGTGTAAATCACATATGGACTCTAAAAAGTCTAAAGAACCTCTAGAAAATTAAAAATCACCAGAAACCAGTTGGAATTCCGACTGGCACTTCTTATGTTCTGTTCTTAGGACATCTGCTTTAATATGCATTTGAAGCATATTTTGTTAAAAAAAATCTACATACATGTTTGGTCTTCAAATCAGGATTCAGTTATACATTTATTGAAGTTCCACCTCATCCAAGCAATCTCTAAAATTACCGCATCTGAAAGGGTATTCGTTTCATATGACATCTGATCGCAACTCTGATGTTTTGGAGGTTCGTGTTTGCTCTGCTCCTATTTTGTATTGTTTTATGGTCTTTAGTGTTCATTATCTCCAAATGTCTCCAAGCATACAGTGGATATTTATATGTGGAATAGCGTTGGGTTTCATGCCAAAAATCTACACCACACATATACATTATCTCCTTCAGTACCATATATCTCTCCTACTAACTTACAAGGTATAGGTGTTGCAACTATATATAGATAAGTAAGCAAAATAAGATTTGGGAAAAAAAATTATTGTATTGAGCAGATATTTTATTTCATCAGAATTCATTTGAGGAGGAATGCCACACCAACATTTCATTTCATTGATCTTTAAGACATCCTTATTAAATAATGATTTCAGCATTGAAAGGTTGATAGTAGATCTTAATTATTTTCTGTGTTTTTTTTTGTATTCTTTCAAGGAAAGAGAAAAAAATATCCAAATTAGATGCTTTAGAGTTAAAAGTTTGCTGTAAATGAATGCATCATATGAATATCCAATAATATCTAAAATAAGTTAAGAAAAACCGTATGGATATACTAAGGTCCAAATATATCAGAGGTGGAGCAGGCGTCATATAGAAGAAAGCATCCCCTGATGACGTCGTTCACGCGAAGAATTAAATGCAAATTCATTTAAATCGAATTAGTTTTCTTCGCATTAAATTACTTTGCATCGATCCATGTGAATGCTAAGCGAAACCTATTAAAATTAAATTTTGACGCATATGTGTAAGTCACATGCTACATTTTGGTGGTCAAACTTAGGTACCTATACTTTATTGAGTGAAAATCTAATACAATTATGAAAACCACTTAAATGTGAACAGACACCATGACATTATGTTAAATAGATCTGCTCTGCATGAGTTGACATCGTAGTATCCTTACTGTAAAGATAAAATTTAATTCGCTTTAGCTTACTTCAAATTATCCGTGTAAAAAGGGCATTTATACAATATTTAAAAATTATGAGTTATGAATCAAAGAACTTTCAATTCCATTTGATGTGTTTAATAGTTTTATTCTTTCAGAAAAAATCGTTCTGCATTGAAGGTAAAATGTCCAAAACCAAATAACTTAGCTTAATTCTGATGTCTGTGTTCATCAAAGTATTTCTCTTCAAGAACAATCATCAATGATTATCAGGAAGTGTCCATAATGGTGTTCTACTAATTACAATTTCAACCAGTCATAACTGTCAACAATTCGTTTTTCCACTTTGAAAATGGTTTAGGCTAGACTCTTTGCTGGGGATAACTGTAAGTGGTTTTGAATGGAAAACATGTAGAATTATCAATTCATTATGTTAAAAAAATCACTTAAAAAGTTTTCATGCAAAAAATTAAAACTAGTAACTTTTTACATTGCAAGAATTTTATATAGGTGCAGTACGTGATATATTTGAATTATCAAAATTTATAAACAGCGATATTCCAAATTAATCATTTTTTGCTTTGAAAAACAAAGTAACTATTCGCTCAAAAACAATATACATTACCATGTATTGGACTTTTTAATCTTTTATTTTCATGACTTCTTCAATCGCTAAGATATTGCTTGCTAACATGGTGATTACTAAAACAAAGTACTATTGACGTCTAAAAAAAAAATACTTTTTGACATGCCTGTTAAAGATGAAAAACTTTCCGGTAGATTTGCATTATCAAGTTTTTCTTTCAGTAATACGAGTAGTATTCAAACATTTATTTTTGATTTAAAAGTGCATGTGATTCAAATGTTATTTTCGATCATGGAATACTCGATGTTTAAAATCTATAGAATTGCACGATTAAATTCTACATATTATCATATCTATTTTTTCTACATGAAATAGGAACTTTAAGTGTTTCTTAAGAACCCCATATTAACACACTCTACAAACATACGTAAACAAAAAACTTATCGTTTCTTGTAAAAGTTCGCAGACATAATATATAAATTTACAGTAAAGTGATTATTTATTTAAGACAAATATACCAAAAATTCATTTTTTATTCATGATGAATTGTAAGTAACACAATGGTTTTTATTTTGCAAGAATTTGATTCAGGGAACACTTTTTAAGTTTCCTTGATACAAAAGTTATACATTTACACACATCACAAGATTTTACCAAAATGAACTGCTTAAAAACTTATGTAATCATATGAAGTAGAAATTGTGCAAAATCTTATGCGTGAAAAGAAGAAAACACTTGCTGTGGCCTCCAACTCTACATTTGGATATATCGACGACGTACTTTCTCATGTCGATACCATCTATCCTGGTAAGCTTGAGATAAAAGATACCACAGAATCTGAGACACCTTTTCATATTTGGATATTTTACTTGAAAAAGACGTTAATGGAAATCTAACAACCAAGCTCTATTATAAACGTGATGACTTTCACTTTGAAATCTTCAACTTCCCTTACCTATGCAGCAATATACCTTCATCACCTGCATAAGGGGTTTATATATGATTCGATACACAAAAGCATGCTATACGTTTGTCCAATTTCTAAAACGAGGTAAATTATAGACAAAAAAGTTGATGAAAGAAGAATATCAGCAGTCTCGTTTAAAGTCATCATTTCGTAAGTTCAATGGTCGATACAATGACCTTGTTAGCAAACACAATTAATCATTGAGTCAAATGCTGACTGACGTTTTTCATACTAATTGTTAATTCAATTCTTACACCCTGTAATGACATTGGACTTTTCCCGTTATTTCCCGATCATGACAAGGAATACACGGCGGGTGTGACCGGTCGGAAGGGTATGCTTACTCCTCCATGACACCTGACCCACCTCTGATGTTTCGGAGGTCCATGTTTGCTCTGTTCATGTTTTGAATTGTTTCATGAGCTTTTCAACTTTAAAACTTTTTGTTATCTCCAAACATCTCACTGTATTATCATTATTTGTAAAATTTCTTTTTTTAATTGCTTTATTATCATTATTATTATTATCTTATTTTACGCAATTGTACAAAAAGCATAAAATTTTACAGATAGGTTATTTTGAAAATATTTATGTCTTAAGTTATGTTAACAGGTTGTTTTCATTGGTGTTATGGTTACCCCCGTGTGTACTGGACCGTGTACAGAATTACGTAGCAGACGACACCTGTATTTGGGACCCGTTGTTGAACCAAGAAATGGTTATCGTAATAGGAATTGTGGGTCACCACGGTTCCTTCTTCCTGCTGTTCGGGTGTTATCTGCGGGTTCTGTTTGTAGTTCGACGACAGAGGAAAATCATCTCGGCGGAAATCACTGTAGATTCGTCGATTAATTCAATTCTGAGTCGTCGAAATCAAGCCTCAAATTGTACAGTCAGTGAAACAGATGACATAACTCCTGTGTCAAAGAACAAACTATATTTTGTTTTGTTACAATAAAGAAAATTACTTAGTATGACTTCAAGGATTCCTTTTAAACTTAATATTAATGAATGATCATAAAAACGACCAGTTAAGTAACCATATTAGTTCTATAATTAATTAAGATATTTATATAATATTGATTTTTGATGTTAATTTCAATATACAATGGAATTAATAATTAGTTGTACATGAAAAGGAAAAAAAAACTGAAAATCTGAAGTAAAAAGACTTAATAAGCAATGTACATGTATTGTAATCAGTTTTCATTTATATAATGTTTCAAACAAATCAAGGCTATCGGAGAACTTAAAGCTGTAAAATCACTGTTTTTCGTGGACATCATGATGAAAAACATTAATTAATTGCATTAACTAAAGGTACATTTAGACGATGACTAATTCTGTGCTGTTTTGCAGTTTTTAATATGCATGCAAATCTTTTGGTGCTTGTTATATTTATATATTTATTTTCTCTCTGAAGTTAAAATTATTGCATGATTTGTCGAATAATCATTTTAAATCATTAAAGAAAATTAATAAATGACACTTTTTTTCAAACCCTTTGTTTGTTAACAAAGTTAACTCGGTTATATAATGCTCCATAAGAAGAAACATCAGCTGAGTATTTGAGAGTGGTTTGTGCAATCACTTACTTAATATTAACACTTGGATGAAATGGGACGCCTTCATGTACTGCAAATGACATTTGCTTATCTAAATTATGCAATACCAACCTAAGCATTTTAACGAAACTCTCAAAATTAAGAATCTTATGCAATTTTTTGTTGTAAAGACGATTTTCGTAGAATAATGCTTTAATGTACATGTGTGTCATTTGATTGGATCAATGTCCTTTGCTTCCTTAATTTTACTGAAATTGATCAAAATCTTATACGTGAAAAGAAGGAAACACTTGCTATGCCCTTCAACTCGACATTTAGGTATATAGACGACGTACTGTCAATTAACAATGGTAACATACATTCTTATGTCGATACGATATATCCTGGTGAGCTTGATATAAAAGATACCACAAAGTATATATTTTACTTTAAAAAGACATTAATTGTAATCTAACAATCAAGCTCTATGATAAACGTGATGACTTTAAGTTAACTATCGTCGATATCACTTGCTTGTGCAACAAAATACCTTCACAACCTGCATACGGAGTTATTATAACTCAGTTGTTCTACACGCAAGAGCATGCCCTAAATATGAAAAATTTCTAAAACGAGGTAAATTATTGACTGATGGAACAAACAGTCTTGTTTAAAGTAATCATTTCGTAAGTTCTAAGGTCGATACAATGACTGTCAGCAAATACAGTTTATCACTGAGTCAAATGCTGACTGACGTTTTTCATACTAATTGTAAGTCCACTGCTTACACACTGAACTGACGACGAATTTTCCCGTTATTTCCCGATAATGACAGGGAGCACACGGTGGGTGTGACCGGTCGGCAGGGAATGCTCACTTCTTCATGGCACTTGATCCCATCTCTGATGTTTTGGAGGTCCAGGTTTGCTCTGCACCTATTTTTTAAATGAATTTTTGATCTTGAATAGCGTTCGTTATCTCAATATGTTTCATTCCTTTTAAACTTAATTGGCTCAAAAATGACAGAACCATTTTAAGAAAATGGTATATGACGCCAATGAAAAAAAAAAATTATAATGACATTTACGGGGTCTTTTTTCTTTGAATGTGAAGATGCCGATCACATCAATCTATCAGGTATATTTTGTGTCGAGCAATAAACATGACAAATGATTTTAGAAGGAGCTCTATAACAAGTAAGTTATTTTGCATCATAAAAAAAAATTCGTGACCTGGCATAAACATTTATAAATGTTTATAATTGTAGTAAATATATTTCATTTCATCTTTGAATATTGTCATCTTTATTTTGGATCAATCAGCAAGAATAGGGACAAAATGAACAATCATTCACACATTGTGACACTTGAAAAAGCGTAATAAGCAATATTTTTACATGCTTATGTAATTCAAATTAGAAATATATCACTGCAAGAGTGTAAACGTTAATAAGATGCTTTAGATTTTGCCAAAAGGTGAGATCCTTTGAGTACTTTGTTAAACCAAATACTTGTAGATGTTTTAAAAAAAATGAAAACCACATTTGTGTATAATGGATAAATTACATAAACTTGTGTCGCTTTCGTCATTTTTTTCTGTTACTTTCAAACCATTTTATGATATACAATGATATGGAGAATAAAATTTGTCGTAGGCAATTTAAGAAACACTATACTGAAAACATCCTTTTGTAATATTTTCTATGATGATAAGGTTTACAAATATACTATGACAAAATTCGAAGCAAATGCTATAAAAATAAGCACTGCTGTCAATTTACTATAAAGAAAATGGGCGCATTTGGCGTGTGATCTGCAGGAATCATTTGTACGAAACATTTATTGTTTAAATGTCCATGATTTGGTTGGCTGAACATAGCTGGTCAGATTTCACAAACACGTCCATAGGTTTCTTTTTCATTTAGTTTGAAATAACTTGTGATATTGTAACATCTATACCTGTTTCTCCTAGGGGTACATTAACATAGTAATATTTCACAAAAAATAAACACCTAAAATATTTAATGCATAGATGCATGATACGTGAACATGTACATTACAGACTGAATAGAAGACTGGACTGATTTCGCTGAAGAACCAAAGTGAACCAAAATTTATCTAATTTAAAATTTTAATACATCTGGACATAAAACGAAACTGACAAAATAAATGGTTGTTTGCATGAATAAAAAAATTAACGCCCCATGCCAGGCTCGAACCAAAACCTTTTCGCTACGATAGCACTGAACATGTAGCCCTACTTACTGAGCTATCACCGCTGCACGTCTACAGATGATTTAAAAAGGATAAAGAAGCACCACATTCACACATTTGGATTTTTTGGGAAAAAGTACATTTTTTGTGGTCTCTGGGTCTTCTCTCCATTTTTTAAAAATGTGTATTCGTTTCTTTGAATTTAAATACACACAAATAACGTTTCAAAATCATGGAGAGAAGACCCAGAGAAGGAAAAATTTTAGAAAAACGTGTTTAAAAATGTACCATTTTGTACCAAATGTCTGATCTGGCCAATTTTCAAGTTAATTTTTAGTAAATTAAAGCTCAATTTGGGAAAATATTTTCCTTTCCTGTTGCACAGGAACCCAATAAATAAAAAAAATTATAAAATTTCATGTGACATGTCGATAAAATTTTTACTTTTCAATTACGCCCAGATTCCTGCCGAATGCCAATCAAAAGCGCCCTCGTTCTTACAAATTCTGCTATGACCTGACATATGATGTTAGAAATCTTGAAGTAGACATATTGGAAATAAAATAGAAATGTTATGATAAGTTAAAATTCGTTTTTAGCTCAACAATTCACAAGAACAATGAGAACAGTTTTTATCGCTATTCAATTATGAATGCAGATATTAGAAATAATATATTATGTTTTATTAGGACATTACGTCCCAACCTATAAACTTCTTATACATGTAATTAAGTAATATCTGGTTCCTCTTAAAGCTTAAAGACAGAATCATTCTGGTAAAACCATGAGAGCAGAACGAAGCACTCGCTTGATTGATACCTGTAAAGATGTAAACTTTCTTTAAAAGATGTAAATATGTGCAAAAAACGGACAGAAGTCAAAGGAACGTAATTGTAATATATCCCTATGTTTCGTCGGGAAATTGAGGTCTCGTGTCAGGTATATTCTACATTGTAATATTTAAAGGTTTTCAAGTGGTGTGACCGGTCAGCAGGGGATGCTCACTACTCCATGGCACCTGATCCCACATTTGATGTTATAGAGTACATGTATGCTCTGTTCCTATTTTGTATTGTTTTACAGTCTTTTGATCTTGAATACTGTTCCTTATCTCCATAATCATGCTTTACTGTATTGTGTAAAGTGTGAGTGTTGGTTTTGCTGAACAAAGTCAATATTCTACAGCTGTAGTCTATTACATGTATCCCGTGTACCAATATATCTTGAATTGACAGGTTCTATACAGTGATTATTTCAATGATTGATTGTTTTTCTTGGTCAAACTTTATCTTGCATAAACATAAAATCATCTGATAATTTTTTCAACTGAAAAATTCTTTTAAGGACAGATGAGAAAAACTTTTTTCTTTGAAGGAGACTTAATATCATCTCACAGGCTTAGAAAAGTGAATAATTCCTTGATTTTTTTCTCCTTAGTCTTGGAAAATGAAATAGACTTGGAAAATATTTATTAATACATGTATTTCAATAAAATAACAAATATAGACAAATCTTACTCAGCAAAAGTTTACAGATGAAAACAAATTTCAGAATATATTAGTCTTCTGTTAGTACTTAAAGAAATGCTTATATATTTGAAATGCTAAGTTAGAAGTAAAATCGAATTAATGTTGAAAGCGAGAAAGTAGGAAAAAATCCTTTGCAATCTCGCAATATTCAGTTTATTAAGAACATTTTAATTTAAATTCTGCACATTTTCCAACACAAAAAGCATCTTAGCTAGCCTAGGGTTTCTGGGGAGTAGAGTACCAAAAACCCATGGCTAGGGAAAATGGAAAACAAAAACAAGTGAAAAAAAAACATATTGCGAACAAGTGTACTGAACTTCTGTATATTTATAGGTTTTAGGACAGGGGTTGACCCTGCGACCTCCAAAGTTATGCAGTCTAGTTGGAACAGCACATCGTGTTTTACCGTTGCAATCTTGAGACACCTTGTTGAGCACATCTAATCTGCAGTTGGTATCATCCATCTTAGCTGACTTAGACGGACAAACTTGAGCTGTAGGCTCGGTGCGTCCATAGTTGGCAGACAAAATAGTTAGAGTTTTGGAGTTTTCACATCGGATTTCTCCATCATCGGCCCCGCACATTATTACAGTCCTTTGTTCTTTATTGTATAAAACATAAAAAAATGTGAATATATTCTTAAGCTCCTTCCTTATTTGTATGTTACTACAT